GGTCGAGTCGTCTAAGGTGGCAACCGAACCTCCACCGGAGATTCTTAGCACCCCCTGCCCCGCCGTTACCGTGGTCGCCACCGTAGCCAGGAATACCGGGGCCGCCGGGGACTGGGGGCCGTCTGTTTGTTGCTTTATTCATTGGGGGGTATTTGCCATAGTTGCCACGCTTGGCGAGCGGGTAGGCAACCGAAGTTTTTTTATTGTAATTTTGGCTATTATCAGGAAGATGCTGCTGCCCATCTCCTGCCTGTTTCCCTTTGTCGCCTTTTACGACACCCACGGGAGGATATGGGGTAGTGGATATTCTTGACCGCCACTACACGGCACACATGTGGTAACACACATTTTATTGTGTGTTACCACATATTTAACGTGGTAGCTGCTATATTAGTGGTATAGTTGGAGCACGAATGGGTCGGCTCGACCGGGGAAGGACCACGCTCTCACAGAATACTAGCGTAAAATAGCAGCTTAACGCTGCTGTATTTCGTATGGTGAATGTAGAGAACCAGAGACCCTTTTTACTGGAAATGAGGCATGACAACGCATCTGCATTTTGATTTGTAATAGAGGATAGATCAGGTGGACTGTGTGCTCGTTTGTCACCCTTAACGAATAAAAAAAATAACATTTTTCCTCGGTAAACCGATTTTGATGATTCTTTTATTATAATTTATTTTTGGCTTGGCCGCCGTCGTGAGTGGAATGGATTACTGTGTCATTTGCTTACAGAAGCAGTAATAGGCAGCAAAAATATCAATCGCAGTAGAAATACAAAATATTCCAAAAACGAAATTTGATAAGTACTTGACCGATGTTATTATTTTTATAATCACAGATTTTATTACAATAATATTTTGTTTCGCTAAAAGTACGTAGGATTTATATATAAATATATTTACACGTCTTGGACTTTAAGGAGTAACCTGAAGGTGTACTTCGGTGAATGCTACTGGAATTCGTCGACCAGTAGTACTAGGTGTGCCGTGTTTGGCCTTGTTTTGTTAGTTATGATGAGACCTTACCTCCGGACTTGATAGTGACTTGAATGTGTACTTCGGTGACTGCTACTGGAACTCTTTGACGAATAGAATTACAATTTACAATTTTTATTAATTTTTTCACGATATTGTGAGTCGTGCAATTTTTGGATTTGCCAAGCTTTTTTTTAAATTGAAACATAAAATTATCGGAAAATTGGAAGTATATAAGGTTTTTAGTGAAAACTTGTGTGTAATTAAATAATCATGTTATACGTAATTTTTAATGCGCTTAAGGCATGCATGTCTTAAGCGCATGCAATGCAAGCAATGGGGTTTATCAATAGTTTATTCATATTATGTTATTATCTATGTCTCCGGAAAAAAGGATGAAGATTGACTCAATTTTCAAATCACTAGAAGAAAAGGGTTGTTTTGAAATACTCATAAAACGACATTTAAATTATAAAGAAGAAAAGTTCAAGAAATACTGTATGTCAAGTCGTAAACAGTTTGATTTTGTACTCAGTTTAATAAATCAAGACGCCAAACACACAATAATCACAAGCGCTGAATAACTTTTTCTCACACATTAGTGTGAAAAATTATTAAATTCTAACACTAAAATTTTGACACTGGAGACGCAATACTGATAGCAGAATATGGGGTGTGGGTCGATGCTGCACTATTTGAAATTCGATAGCTTTGATTTGAATGTGGACTAAAGGAAATTTTACTTCTATCAGGCCTCTGTCACTCTTGCTACCTGCGTGAAATAATTACCTACAATCGCGAGCTACCCCAGGGGTAGATCCTCAGATCATAGAAACAACAGGAGATATGCCCGGTACGTTAAAATGTATCGGCACCTGTTGTCGCCAATTTGTCCCAGCCACTCGCCAACTACTACACATGCAGTTCAGTAAAATCAATAGATACACAGTCGCGCACACACCCGCATTTAATAAATCAGAACGTACAACACAACCAATTATAAACCTTATCTCACCAAACACAGCGTGCATTTACCATGAACCGTACAACTTACTAATCCAAAAACATCTGCCGCTATCGTTGTGCTGTGCAAAAGGCATGCATTTTACATAGGCGCTAGTGATTGACTAAATCGGAAAGTTGTCGATTCTTCTATTTATAATTGTACTATAGATTTTTTGGGGTCATGATAATAAAATAAAATAAATAAAGAACGATATGTCCAGAAAATATTATAATAAAAATAAACAATATGTAGTTAAAACAAAATATTAATAAATAAATTATAATTAATATTGTGGTTCAACAATATTAATCAATACAATGGCCTTTTTAACTAGTTGTATATACAATGCCTTGAGGCTTTCTGTGTACACTAAAAAGCAAATAAAACCGGTTTTTATTGGTGTACTGATAGCCTTTTTACAGTTTGGAAGCTTTATAGAAGTTAAATACCGTTTCGCTTTTTCTAAAGTTTCTTAGTAAGTACATATTACAATAGTAAAGAATATTGATTTTTCTTATCTCCATTTAACGACAACTCTCATTAACGCCATATAATGCGCAGTTACTTATACTGTAGTAACAAATTATGTTTTACAATAATTAATAGTATCATGCATAATCATTCGTACTTAGCAGAATCGTATAAAATATCGACAACCACAAACATCACATTACATCTCTAACTCACAAAAGCCGGCAGCGGCCGCTTCACGAAACTACCGTTAGAGTGAGAGTATCAGTAAAACACATATCCATTGCGCTATTAGACCAGCCGATTCACCGGTCGATTTGTACTAAGCAAGCAATGGTTTTTGTTCCTAATGAAAACATTTGAATTGGTTTTTCATCGTGTTTCTAGTACCACGAAGTAATGTTTTAAAGAATTTAATAAGAAAAACATTAATATTTTAGTATTTACGTGTGAAATGAGACGCTACCTTTCATGTAATTCACAATATAGCTGTTAGTTTTGCAAAGGATCACTGAACAACGCGGCATTTTGTCAAAAATCACGAGCAGTAAACACGTCGCAAGTTGACATTCGACTAATTACTAAAACTGGCATCAGGCCGCTTTGCGGCCAGATGCGTTCGCAAGCGCCACGCCTCCTTGCCATATCTCCTGTTGTTTCTATGATCTGAGGGTAGATCGCAGTCGGGGCTAGCGCTCTAGCTCGATTGAATGTTAAAGGTTTTTTAACGCTGTTCACGTTAATAATTTTTTGTAAATACTTGTTGAAATACTCGTTGAAATAGTTTTTGTTTAGTGTTTGGTATATTTAATTGTGGGATAAAATAGTTGAAAAAGTTTTAATGTAATTTAAGCATAATATATATTATGTATATTGCCTATCTATTTGATAAATTATAATGGCAAAACGTCGTTCCTACTATAATTGTTGCGGGGATGGATGCTTAATGAGCAAATAAAATGATTCAGATTATCATTTTTTGAGTTACCGAAGGATAATATTTAATTTTTTGTAAGTTAGGACTTAAAGCGAATAAATAATTAATTAATAATTGAACTATAGAAGTAATACCTAAATACTTTATTACACACCTTAGTTGAAATTTACTTCACTATCCAAGTACCTACTTACATACCTATACTCGTCTTTGTAATTAAAATATTTTAAGTTATAATAGCACAAAATACTGCAATTAAAACTTTGTTTACAAGATTTTCTACTAGGTAGATTACGATCGTATTTCTGTTAGGAATCGTATTTCTGGTTTATTTGTTGTTTACGCTATCTATTTAAACGAACAAAGCATCGCGATTCCCGACGAATGGCCTTGTAACTTGCATGCGTTGGGCATCACAGAACTCATAGTAGATAATATGGTCGATTATGGTCAGCATAGGTACTTTACCTAAGTAACTTACCATTTCACAATGTATTTTTTTAACCTTTATTAACAGCCCTTAGCAATCACGTAAAGTCCGCTGTGACGTAGTAAGGAGAAAAGATGCAACATAATACGGACACTCGCGCGCAGCGATAAAGTTTTATTTAGCTTGCTTGCGCGATTTATCGGATTAATAATAACTATGTAGGCTATTATAACGTCGGCAAGCATTCAACATCAAAAGAGTGCACCTTCTGTACGTAATACTATTATTTATTCTGTGTTTCTATCTGAAATTTGATCAAGACTTTTCAATTCAAACACTGCCGGTATATTAAAAAGTTTTGTTTTAGCCCCCACTCTTAAACGTGGTGGTAATTATTTCAAAACTGATACTGTGCTCTTATGGTTCTCATTTCTACTTGTCTTCGTTTGTATTTTTGTTTACAATATTCTAGTTCTGATGAGTGAATATTATTCCTCGATTTACGTGTTCTATAAATTTTTCCTACTTTTCTTGTTCCAGCTGTGTTTACTCATAAATACATACATAAACACTCACGCCTGTCACCCAGAGGAGTAGGTAGAGACTATGGACTTCCATTTAGCACGATCCTGACACACCTCTCTCGGTTCCTCCACATCCATATACCTACGCATACACGCTCGTCGGTTAAAGGTACTCTTGATTTAGCCCATTTTCAATGTATCGCCGATTTGGTCGATAAATCTTCGTCTAGGGCGTCCCTTCCCGACTTTGCCGTTTACTTCTGCAACATAAATTTGCTTTGTCACTCTTTCCTCATTCATTCTTTCTACATGACCAAACCACCGAAGCATTCCTATCTTAATCCTGGTCATCATCTTGCAAACCACACTCTTCTCTTATCAAACAATTTCTCACTCTGTCATTCAGATTCATCCCTAACATACTCCTTAATGACCGCATTTCTACAGCATTTATTCTACTCTCGTGCTCCTTCTGCCACACCCAACTTTCACTACCATTCATTAAAGTAGGGACTAACACAGCAATTTGAATTGCCATACGTGCCTTTTTGGACACATTCTGACTGTGCCTACTCCTGCTCCACTTATCTATTCATTGCTCATTTCTCCTCCGCTCTCTCTTCACCGCTCCTCAGCTCAATTGCACCAGCCGTGTCTATTCCTGCTCCACTTGACCCTTCATTACTAGTTCCTTCTCTAATTCTCTCTTCAATACTCCTTCTAATCCACTTTTCCCCACTGTGCTTGTTTCCTCAATGGTTTCACCTTCAATATTGAATAAAATATGAAGAATGTTATCCAGAAAACTAAACCTCTCAAACAGCATCCTTTTTGTTATTTTAGAAGATGCCGATGACCCAGTGGGCAATTTATTCTTACGTTTGCGTCTATCATAGGAGTCCCTTATGTATTTCTAGCGTTTCTTGCATTCACCTTATTCTTTATTAAAAAAGAATGGATAAGTTCCGTAAAGACTGACCACCATGACCGTAATTTGATCTGGAGAATTTTATCATTATAGGAGTTTTTGTCATATATCAATAAAATTTATCCACAGAAGCTCACATATGATTTTGTTTTACAATTTGATATTATTATTCAAAACTGAGGTCCACTTAGATAAAAGCGGGATCAAATAAGATTCTATTACATTAGTTTTGTCTTAAGTCCGTTATTCACAATACTTTAAAATTGGTGGTCGACCAATTATTTAAATCATAACATTAAAGGTTCTTAGATATTTACAAAATCCTTTAGATGTTATCGCTCGTTACTAAGAATCCCGATAAATGTCACACAATAAAGGCTCTGTGAAATAAAAAAAAACTTTCGTTTTTTATTTCACAGAGTAAGGAAAGTTTTGATCTCGTTTAAATAAACTTTTTCAAACGAGATCAAAACTTTCCTGGCGATATTCAAATTTTCATTGAAACACTTTGAAGGAAAAATCTATTATATATTCTACGTTATTGACGTATTTCTTTCCACGTCTCTATTATACACATTTCTAATGATATTCGCAACAACTTCATATAGGTCAGGAAAAAACAACTTAACATTTTTAAGAAAGGTTTTTTACTTGTTTTGTTGGTAGTTTAAAATTCTTTTCAAGAAAGTATTTCTAAAATCGTCAGGTCAATAAGCTAAAGTAGCAATGGCTATAGAGCGCGACAAATGAAAAAGTAATGGTAATGGGGTTCTAAGTCAGTAGAGTGTAAGAAGGCCTTACTGGATAAAAGGGCGACCTGGTTAGAAATGCAGGAAGTCGATGGATGCAGGTTGCTCAGGTCCGTGCTTTGTGACAATACATGGGGAAAGTCTATGTTTAGGTGTCGATATGTGGAGGATTGTAATGATGACTATTACAATTATAATGATAATGATGATGGTTGGAAGGAGAAGGATAATGAAGTCGATGATAATTTCTAAAATGTGATTTGAACACAAAAACAAATTAAATACGACATTATTTGATCAATCCTGATCGCGTTGTATCTTGCTAGACTTAGACTACTTCATTGGTCTAGGGGTCGTCGTTTGGTCCCTTCAAATTCCGACTGGGGTCAAAATCAGTCATTGGATCTTTGGTCTTTAGGTATTTGCTGGTATTCCACCCCCATACATCGGAAAGCACATAAATCGTTGGTTCTACGCCTAATCTCTCTCCGGTCTGTATCGTGAAGGCATTTTGCCTAGAAAAATTGTACAAGGACATACGTCCAGACACGGGATAATTAGGTTATACAAATACTTGATCCGTGCGTTTTTCGGACCCGCGTTTCTGAGTGCCACCACTCACTGCTGAGCCAGTGCACCAAAGAGCTGTCTCAAAAGGCCCATTACAATGAATTCTGTTAAAACGTAGAACAAGGGACAATACTTGACCCTCTATTACTTATAATTTACATTAATGATTTGCCAACCATTATCGAATACTCTATGATATTTTTTGCTGATGATAGCAAAAATAACATGACTTATGAAAATAAAATTATAATGACATTGGCTAATATAATAAAATGGCTAAAACTTAAACATTAACAAAACTAAAATAATGAATTTTCGACAATATACACAGCCACCAAACTTGACTATAAAATATGAGAATGAAGTTATACAATTTAAAATAAAAATTTTGTACAATCGGCTTTAATATAAATTATTAAGAATAACTCAAAAACTATTGGTCAGACCTTAATCAAATTTACTTAATTTACACGCACGCACGCATGCACGCAACCACGCTCGCACGCACGCACGCTCGCTGGCTTGAAAGAACGCAAGCAAGCACTCACGCACGCTCGCACGCGCTCACGCACGCATGCACGCACGATCACACGCACGCACGTACATACGCACGCATCACGCACGCACGCACGCACACACGCACGCACACACGCACGTACGCCACCCATGCAGGACCTTAACAATTTGCCTTATTATAGGACATTCATATTTTGTGCTATAACACTCAGGATACTGTTGGCGCTATTCCTTGTTCTACCAAGCAGAATGCGCAAGCGATGCGATGCTTTTTTGCGTATTATCGCGTCAAACCCGTCGGTGCGGGCCTCACAGAACATGCCTGAAGCACTGCAGTAGCGGGGCAGCCCCAAAAGAACTCTAAATGCATTGTTATATTGCACCCTTAATGCTTTATACGCCCTTTGTGTGTATTTAACCCAAAGGGAGCACGAATAGAAAGACTGGCAGTATGCCTTAAAAAGAGTTATTTTAAGTGCATTACTGCATCGTGCAAACTTACGAGCTAACATATTACTCCGGGTCGCTAAAGCCCTACGCTCCCTCTCTATGTCCATTTCATCATGCAAATCCTCGGTCACGTAGTGTAAGTAGTATCTGAATTGTGATACCCTCGATAAAGCAGTGTTGTAGAGTCTGATAGGTGGTATGTACGTGGGACTCTTGTTATTAGTTTTAAACAGCACAAACTCACTTTTCTTTATATCTTCTATACATATAATAAAAATGTAAATAGCAGATGTCTGTACATTTTATATTTTTGTAATAAAAGTGATTGAGAGGTACTAAAAATAAGTATAATTAAATACAATTCTACCATTTTTAGATTTTTCTGTCTGTCTGTTTGTTTGTTAACGCATCACGTATAAAGTACTAATTTATATCATAAGAATAGTTAAGGAAATTATTAAGTGTATATTCAGGTTACATTCAATCTTTATTTCAGTAAAATGGGTTAATTCCATCAAAAGTTATGACAAATATTCTGAAGTATGGGTACTAAGTATAGGTACGAATTTGTTCAATAGTGGCGTTGGTTGAGTCATCAAGTACATTTTAAAATTAATATCATATTATAAATCATAATTAAATGATGTAAAATAATGTTCTATAATGATATAATTATATCGAAAACGCAGTAAACAAAAGTATTACATAAGGAACGTAATAAATATATACAAAATATATTAACCTTATTATCTAAACTAAATTAAAGTACAAAAGTTAAACAATTTCATCGATAGATGGTGGTGTGGCACAAATGTGATACAAAAAGGCAGGTTAAATTTTTTTCCTGTAGATGAGTTTCAGATTTGCTTCTAACCTTTATATTAACGACACGCTGCCCTACTGCGTGTTGACAATCTCATTTATTTTTTATTTTTTTACCGCCGAGCACTCTATGTGGTAAATCAAATTTTAAGCGCTATTAACAATTTCGTTTTTCGGCGAGGATCAAACTTTCTTTTTTGCTTACTATGCAGGCACTGATTTATAAGTTCTTTTATGTTTTTTATTGTATCAATCGTGTCAATTAATCTTTTATTTTTAGAATTGATGATAACAGCGCCATCTCTCTTTAAACCTATACATATAATAAAAATGGTAATAACATGTTGTGCCTGTTTCTGAATATTGTATAGTATATTAATTTGTGACTAAAATCATTATGGGGACTGTAAATCATCAAATAAGTACATTTTTATAATTTTTAGAATTGTACTATCTGACGGTCTGTCTGTTTGTTTATGGACGCATGACGTTTTGAGTAAACATCTTTTTTTCAATGAAATCCTTAAGAAAATGATAAAGCGTAGTATCAAGTTCATTTAATCTTTGTTTTATTGAAATTGGTTTATTCTATCGAAAGTCATGATTATTATTTTGAAATGTAGGTTCGAATTTGTTTAATGGCGCTACAAAATCTCAGAAATAGTAATAAAAAGATTCGTGTGTAAAAAAAACGTTCTATTATAATATATTTCGTATCGTTCTATTATAGTACTTAAAACACAGTAAAAATATGTTTTCCTTAAATTAAAAAAGGATGTTTTCTCACAAAGAACGTAATAGATGGCGTTGTACAAATTATAACCTTTTCAGACTTGCGGTGTTAAGATTTTTCGCAGGTGCGATTCACCAGGTTGAGACTCACTGAAACAATTTATGTCCATGAGTCTTACGGAGTTACAAGCTTCTAAGGTATGTATACAGTAATCTATGCCTGCCTGTAAGAGCCGTGTAGGCTAACAACACATCACAAAAATCATCAGAAACAAAAACCAGAAAAAAGAGATATTGAAATATTGAATTATTCAACAAAACTCGACTAAAAGTAGCAAAATTGCAATAAATGTCGTGATAGTGATATTGTTTTATACCCAGAATCCCTCTAATACCAAATAACTTTCCTTTCAGTTTTAAGTAAAGTTGCAGCCTATTTACGTCCCACTGCCTCCTCTCATTTCTGAGAGGGTTTTAGGGCAAGGAAATGTCCACCGCGCTGCCCCAATACGTGTTGGCGAACTTCACATGTCATCGAAATATTTTTTTTTATTTCTCAGACATGCAGGTTTCCTCACGATGTTTTCCTTCACCGCCGAGCACGTGGTAAATCAGCACTTAAAATTGCAATTAACAATTTCATTGGTGCCGGCGGGGATCGAACCCTGGTTGCTCGAGTACTGTGAAGCTTACAGCGAGCCATCTGAGCTACCACGGCTCAGGCTTCAGTTTTAAGATAGGGATAATAACATCGATAATGACATCGATGTTGGCATCGATAGCTCAACATCGATGTTCGATGTTTAGGCTACTCAAAACATCGATGTTGACCATTATCGATGCTTTTTGTATATGTGTAGATACTTACAGATTGTTTCAAAATTATGTGGGTATACACAGCAAGGGAAAGTAACAATTAACTTGAATATCAATTTATGTAGAATAGTTATTATGCGACAACCGACAACGACACTACAAAAAAAGCGTAAGCAGTGACCATTGTGACATTACAGGAGACACTTGACAATTAAGTTTGACTCACCATACTGACATTTTTTTAGGTTAACGATGCGTTCAGAAATTCTGAATTATTCAAAATTTTTAATCATCAGAGCAGATGCAAGATTTTGTTGATATTGATTTCGCGAGTTCGCATTGTTTGCAAGTTCCCAATTATCGATTATGTCGTCGATGTTTCGATGTTTGACATATGTCAACATCGATGTTGAAACATCGAAGTTTTAATTTTTAACATCGATGATCATCTAACATCCCTATTTTAAGTGTGTTTCCCACTCAGCGTGTGTTATGCGACGATCGTAAATAAAGCGCAAGGCCAAACTTTACGCGTTGCAGGAGTGAACCTCAGTACTGATTGTTTTGCACATGGCCAACTCTATGTTGCTTTTTCCCGCGTTAGTAGTCCCCGTAACCTTTTTCTGTACGCCCCGGCTAAGTCTACTTCTATCGTCGTTTACACAGAAGCTCTATCATAAACGACTTAGAACTTTGAGCATCTCGATTTATTTTGTTACCACTTATTCATACAGTAATGATATAAATCGTTTAATATTCTCTTACCCTAAACGTCAAATTCTTTAAGTAAAACCTATATTCGCGAGCTACGCCGCAGGCACAGCTAGTTATAAATAAGACCGTGTTCATTTGCATAAGCCTCACAGATTCCCAGAAGCTTTCTGAGCGCACTGACCGAGGGACTCAGCAACACCATGTCGTCGGCGTAACTTAGTTTGTTGACGCACTTTCCATCCACATGGCAACTGACCTTGGTGTTGCTGAGTCTCTCGAGCAGCTCATTTACTGTGGCCATAGGTCAGAATATGATAAATGCAATTTCATTACTTTACAGGACAAGCAATTAAATTATTAAGAAATCTTGAAGGCACTATTAAAATATGAAACACTCGATATATGAAAAAAAAAATTTTTAAAATTAAGGAAATGTGTTACTAATCTGTAAAAATAATTAAAGTTCATTGTGGAATGCGTAGTATTCACGTATTGTTTTCTTTTTTAAAGAATGGTTGCACTTGTCACACTGTGATCAAAAGAAGTAGGTAGTTATCGTGTTATGATCTTAAATGAAAGACAAATATGAGAAAAATACTTTATTTAAATTTAAAATGACAATGAAGAATATTTGGCATATAATATTGCGCTCGAAGCAGTATTAAAAATAAGATAATAGACTTAATAATAGAATAAATTCTATTCAGAATCGGAATTATAATCACTAATATATGATGTGTCTACTACGTCGTTGTCAGACTTTATTACATTGAAATCATGGTACACTGGATCAATATACTGTAATAAAGATAAAATATCCTTATGTTTTTCTTTACTTATTAATAATGGCTGATTGTACGTCTTACGAACATCCATTATTGGCTGATTATTTCGATGGCTTTCCTCTTCATGTCACATATTTTAAACTCTTCTTCCACTCGCAGTGAATACTTAAAAGAAAAGAAACAAGGATGTTCTTTCTCGACACGTATCCAAAATATATTACGCCACAGAAAAGGTTCGATATTCTGATATTTGGTCTTCTTCGTAAGCGACTGCTTTAGAATGCTCGAAAATGCAAAAATGTCGTCTTGTGACAATTTTATCACAGTGAACTTACTGCTGACCATACTCACTAGCATGTACCAGTCATTTGGAATTGAAATTCTTCCATTATATTTCTTCTTGGCTCGCTCGATTGAGGCATGGTCAGCATCACACTCTAAATGTGTGTGACCAGGAACTAGGAATTTATGATCTATAGTCTTCAAACCAACTTTCTGCGTAAGTATGTAGTTATATACAACAGGTAAAGTTTTGTTGCGGGTTTTCCCGGGACATGTATCTGAATAAATAATAACGTGTTCTGTTTCTTCGGGCAAACTCATTATGAACATTTTTAGGCAAGATGCGCGATAGCTTCATGCCACATGAAACAAGTAGTATTCCCAGTGTTATAATTTCTGACTGTGAAATTAAAAGTCCATAGCTTCCTTTTGTAAAATTCTACACTATTATTTAAGTATGGTGTAGCGAGACACTGCTGTAAATCACACACAGCGACAACGATAGTATTCCCTGATGACTTGGCACGTTGTTTATCGAAAGATTTACATTCGTAATGGAAATTTGCTTTATCCTGATGAGAGACATGTTCGTCATGTAGTCTCGTTTTCTCAGTGTCATTTATTGTAATTTTTATTTTTGCTACAAATGTATCACAAGTATGGCAAGTATCGTTATATGGCATTTTAAATTTTAAATTGAATGTCTTAAAAATATAACTATATGTAGAAAGGCTGATAATTATTGCAGTTATATTGTCCATGGTATGTTGGTCTAGGTATGAGTTATACATTTTTTGTAAATTCAACCCAGTCTCTAGATATTTTTTCGTAGTGTGTCGTCTTGAATAGTGGCTTTCGTATGCAAAGAAATTAGAAATATAATTCCGGACATAATCAATTGCTTCATTTGAATGTTTAATTTTTGGCTCATGTCTGCCTCTTTCATCCCGTCCAATGATACCTGTAGCTGACTTTTTCTTCTTATCAATTATGCCATTCACAAAACCACGATTCTCGCCATACACGTTAAGAAAACAGTTTTGAGAAACTTTTACTAAATTACCTTCATTTTCAATAAAGTACTCTACAGATACTTCTCTTTTCTTTTTATATTCAACCTCTAATTGGCAGTGTCAATAGTATATGGTTACTCAAATGTAAACGTTGCATATACATAGTTTCCATAGCGCGATAATCCGCAAAAACTCTTTGTAATTGTGCATTCGTAAATTTAGTTTTACATTTTAATCTGCATTCTTTTAGTACACCTACAGATTTACCCAATATTTTTTTCCCAGCTTGATTTATGTATTCTTCCCCCTTTTTAATTTTTTCTGTTCTTTCTTTACGGAGTTTTTTTTGCATCATACCGACACAACGCTTCCTTTTTCTTCTAACGTTATCCTGTGTTTGAGAAACCAATGCTGGGACAGCAATACTTCCAATACTTCTAGGGGTAGATGTCTTGCTAGATGACGATGATGACACGTGTTCATCGTGTGTACCAGCAGGTAACCAATTACAATCCTGCACATCGTCATCAGAACTATAAGCTCGATTACTTGACGGGTCGGGCAGAGATTGCAAAATATCTTGGTGAGCTACGGCAGTACCTGACGGACCGGGCAGAGATGACAAAATATCCTGCTGAGCTACTAGAGTACCTGACGGGCTGGGCAGAGATTGCATCTGAGCTAATGGAATACGTTCTCTCATACATTGGTTCACAGCTAAATCCTAAAATGAAAAAAAAAACGTTAGGCCTAGGTGCCAGTATTTTATCTTTTGAACGATTACCTACGTAAGTTAACGGTCATTATGTTTTGTTCAGAGTTCGTTTAATATAAAATATACTAGGCACAAGCAGTCATATCAATTATTACAATATTGCTCACTAAAACACATACTTACTCGTACTCTCGCAATGAACACTTTGACATGCTTAATAACAATAAAAATTAATAATGATAAACATACCTCTGAATTTTCTTGCCTCATAGGTAACTTCAACAACTTCATACAGCGAGCACTCATCATTTAAACAGTAATTATAACCTATATTAATGTTCCTTTACCGGCGAAATAACGAAAACTAACAATAAACTATAAAATGTGCGGTACGCGAAACAATAATGACACGACACGTTATGACATGTTTCCCGCTAACCGAGAAATTTTTGATAATAAGTTGATAAGTGTGCTTGTGTCATATTCTAATCAATAAAATCGGTCAGATCAAAATAAAATAAAATCACTTAACGCAATATGACCAAAACAAAAGTTGAAATATAAAAGTTATCATGATCTGGGTAATATTCAATACAACCGTAATATTTTGCATGTAGTTGTCCTGATATGACCAAATGAAAGAGCATTTTTTGGCGATTATACCTATATTAATAAGTCATACTGAGCAAAAATGTACTTATCATTGTCTGATCTATGACCACAGTACAAGTTATTTCTCGATATACCCTCATGTCCATCTCGATCCAAATGATATTTTATAGACGCTCCGACATATATTTAAATAATATATTTTAAAAATAAATATATATATATATATATATATATATATATATATATATATATATATATATGTAGGAAGTGTAGTGGGTATAGTACAGAGACTAATTTTGTAGTTAGGAATAATAATTAATTCGTTTACACGAATTAATTATCCAACGAGTCAAGGATAAACTAGTAACGGAATACGACAAGCGCACCGTTCCACGTCAGAGCCAAGACTGTCCTAACGACGGCCGCTCCGTCCGTTTTATACAAGCAGGATGGGTGTCAACGCAGGTGCAATGCCGCAGGTGTGCGGTACACGTGTCGTTTACAAGAATTCTGTCTAGCCAGACCGACGCCACTGCACCTACAACGGTGCAGGTGCCGTCACGGCCATACTGACATGCGTGCGTCCTCGCACGCGCTCCATCACAATTTTAGTTATCTGTAGACAAAAAAACATCGTTCGACTATCCTGACATAACAGCGTCTGGTCCGGTCTATATTGACCCTTCAGACTTGGGTGACAGTCTGTTTTGTTCGGGCAGCAAGCCCTACAAAACTTTAATCATCTTTATGTTCGATCGGAATGATTAGTCTGTAGCTTTTTCTATTTTCTCTTTTTTTTCCAAGTACTGTTTTCGCTAGTCCGGAATCACTATTCCCTATAGCTATATCACTGGACCGGCACAAAGCCCTGCAATGATTGTAAGAAATATTCCTTTTTCTTAATCTCTTTTTTTTTCAGTACTATTTATGCTAGTCCGGAATCACTATTCCCTGTAGCTATATCATTGGACCGGCAAACGCCCTGCAATGATAGTAAGAACCACATTTTTTTTCTTACTTTCTTTTTTTTTTTCAATTCAGTATAGAACAGTTACAGACCAACCATACCGCAAACATGTCCCCGTCACAATCATACAAAAGTGTATCGTGAGGGACGTAGTGACACGATAACACCTAACTATGTAAACCAACAGCAACTCTACACATATCCCAGTGCAGCACAGACCAGCCTCCCTGCAACTTCATGTTCCTTTCCTGCTCTAGAATAATTACTTCGTTAGAGTGTTGCAATGTCTCTAGTATTTTCTAGATGCACAGACACGGCTACCTCTGAATGTCGCACGTCCTCGTGCTGTTGACAGTGAACAGCATACGGTCTATCAGTTATCACCACCTGCTAACAGATATTAACTCTTGTTAAATATTACAACGGTCGACCATCCCAGACTTCATTTAAGTCTGGAACGCGCCGATATGGCTACCTCCAGGCAAACGCACTTCAGCTTTTTGTTCTTCTTCGTCCGTGCCACATTCGCGCCAGCGAGCCGTCGCGCCGTACTAGCGCTAGCAAATCGTTGTACTGCTTTGCAAAATTAAAAGAAATCGAGATAAATGTATTGCGAACCATGGAATTCCGAGCTTCCAAAATTCATCATATATTCTCTTAAGAAACGGCAACTGTATGACATTTGAAAACATTGCAAAAAACGGTAACTATGTGTAGAGACGGATACCATCATATATTTCAAAGGGAAGGAGACAACCGCGCAAAATCTACGAAAGCCGTCCAAGCCTCAGACGTCCATTTACAGCGCCAAAGCACCATTTGTTCGGCGGCCGCTTGAATTGCCTTGCCGTAAGATCAGCCGATAAGTTACCGACTGTAGCGGTGTAGGCTCAATTTTACTAGCGCTCGGCCGTTCCTGACCATGTTCGATTAGCCGTCACAACATCTTCCTCATTGATGTAGAGATTTCTACGAATCTCTCGACATCAAACCCCAATCTTGTCGACCACACAGTATTCGGAGCAAACTGCAACACTGATCAACACATTAGAACACAAAAATGTTACTTATTATTTTCAATTTCTAGCATGTTAAAGTTAATCCTTTATTTTGGTACATCGCTTAAACGTTTTAAATTTCAAAATATAACAGATGATAATCATGTTTCGCATGAACTATCAAATTACAACAAAACTTGAATAAGTTAATTTTTCATTCAATGCAAACGATGACTCGTCTAGAAAGCCTCCGACATTTCTTCCATTTGTTAACATATTTAGGTACGTCAGAAATAATGAAAATACTTGAGGGTACTTTTAATACAAATCGAACAAAAGGATTTATCTTTTGGCTTAAATAATTTCACTTTATCTTTTCTCTACACTTTAATGATACGACAATATCGTAAGTAGGACAGCAAATTTTATTACGGTATTTAATATAAAAAGAGATCCATCAATGCGAAATGCATTATAGCCTTTACAAATGTAATAATTCTCATACTATTCGAAGATTATATGTGGGCAATAAGAGGGACTTTATCCCACTTCTGATGTAGGAAGTGTAGTGGGTATAGTACAGAGACTAATTTTGTAGTTAGGAATAATAATTAATTCGTTTACACGAATTAATTATCCAACGAGTCAAGGATAAACTAGTAACGGAATACGACAAGCGCACCGTTCCACGTCAGAGCCAAGACTGTCCTAACGACGGCCGCTCCGTCCGTTTTATACAAGCAGGATGGGTGTCAACGCAGGTGCAATGCCGCAGGTGTGCGGTACACGTGTCGTTTACAAGAATTCTGTCTAGCCAGACCGACGCCACTGCACCTACAACGGTGCAGGTGCCGTCACGGCCATACTGACATGCGTGCGTCCTCGCACGCGCTCCATCACAATTTTAGTTATCTGTAGACAAAAAAACATCGTTCGACTATCCTGACATAACAGCGTCTGGTCCGGTCTATATTGACCCTTCAGACTTGGGTGACAGTCTGTTTTGTTCGGGCAGCAAGCCCTACAAAACTTTAATCATCTTTATGTTCGATCGGAATGATTAGTCTGTAGCTTTTTCTATTTTCTCTTTTTTTTCCAAGTACTGTTTTCGCTAGTCCGGAATCACTATTCCCTATAGCTATATCACTGGACCGGCACAAAGCCCTGCAATGATTGTAAGAAATATTCCTTTTTCTTAATCTCTTTTTTTTTCAGTACTATTTACGCTAGTCCGGAATCACTATTCCCTGTAGCTATATCATTGGACCGGCAAACGCCCTGCAATGATAGTAAGAACCACATTTTTTTTCTTACTTTCTTTTTTTTTTTCAATTCAGTATAGAACAGTTACAGACCAACCATACCGCAAACATGTCCCCGTCACAATCACACAAAAATGTATCGTGAGGGACGTAGTGACACGATAACACCTAACTATGTAAACCAACAGCAACTCTACACATATCCCAGTGCAGCACAGACCAGCCTCCCTGCAACTTCATGTTCCTTTCCTGCTCTAGAATAATTACTTCGTTAGAGTGTTGCAATATCTCTAGTATTTTCTAGATGCACAGACACGGCTACCTCTGACTGTCGCACGTCCTCGTGCTGTTGACAGTGAACAGCATACGGTCTATCAGTTATCACCACCTGCTAACAGATATTAACTCTTGTTAAATATTACAACGGTCGACCATCCCAGACTTCATTTAAGTCTGGAACGCGCCGATATGGCTACCTCCAGGCAAACGCACTTCAGCTTTTTGTTCTTCTTCGTCCGTGCCACATTCGCGCCAGCGAGCCGTCGCGCCGTACTAGCGCTAGCAAATCGTTGTATTGCTTTGCAAAATTAAAAGAAATCGAGATAAATGTATTGCGAACCATGGAATTCCGAGCTTCCAAAATTCATCATATATTCTCTTAAGAAACGGCAACTGTATGACATTTGAAAACATTGCAAAAAACGGTAACTATGTGTAGAGACGGATACCATCATATATTTCAAAGGGAAGGAGGCAACCGCGCAAAATCTACGAAAGCCGTCCAAGCCTCAGACGTCCATTTACAGCGCCAAAGCACCATTTGTTCGGCGGCCGCTTGAATTGCCTTGCCGTAAGATCAGCCGATAAGTTACCGACTGTAGCGGTGTAGGCTCAATTTTACTAGCGCTCGGCCGTTCCTGACCATGTTCGATTAGCCGTCACAACATCTTCCTCATTGATGTAGAGATTTCTACGAATCTCTCGACATCAAACCCCAATCTTGTCGACCACACAGTATTCGGAGCAAACTGCAACACTGATCAACACATTAGAACACAAAAATGTTACTTATTATTTTCAATTTCTAGCATGTTAAAGTTAATCCTTTATTTTGGTACATCGCTTAAACGTTTTAAATTTCAAAATATAACAGATGATAATCATGTTTCGCATGAACTATCAAATTACAACAAAACTTGAATAAGTTAATTTTTCATTCAATGCAAACGATGACTCGTCTAGAAAGCCTCCGACATTTCTTCCATTTGTTAACATATTTAGGTACGTCAGAAATAATGAAAATACTTGAGGGTACTTTTAATACAAATCGAACAAAAGGATTTATCTTTTGGCTTAAATAATTTCACTTTATCTTTTCTCTACACTTTAATGATACGACAATATCGTAAGTAGGACAGCAAATTTTATTACGGTATTTAATATAAAAAGAGATCCATCAATGCGAAATGC